CACCCCACTTTCTCAACATGTCATCCACAGTGTAATCTGTGAATAGCTCCAAAGATTTCAGCCACTGTACAGCCCTAATATGTATGATAACCCTCAGATCTGCTGCTCCTCTCTCAGCTTCTGAGAATATCCTGGAGTTTCTTTCTTCCCAAAGTGTCCAACATACTGCAGCCCTTAGTCCTCTCCACATAGTCCTTCCCCTTAGTCCTCTCTACATTTCTGCTGCTTTCTAGTAAGCCTGCAAGTTGTAATGTTTATGCAGAAAATCCATATTGATCTTCAAATTGCTATGATTGGTCTGTGTGCAAAGGACCGTCTGGTTTCTGAATTTAGGCTCCTGGCCCTTGACCTATGCTTCAAAGAAATGTTGACATTCTACTACTGGCTTATCATGTCTCCTGTCTTCAACAATCATTTATATACCATTTTTATGACTCTTATGTATTATTTATAAAATGTAAGTTTAAGACTCTATGAGGACTAGGGGATGAGAGATACATACATGCATATCTGTGTGTATATGCATGGATGATCATGATGTGTGTGTGCCTTTTTTTCTGGTGTGGGGGAGGGGGTTTGCAAAATCATTCTAGTATCGCAGATATGGCCATAAGGAGAATCAGAACTTATGTTGCCAACCCCAAATGTTGCCATAAAGAGAATCAGAACTTGTAATAAACTCTGTAAAAATGTTTCCATTTTGGGTTTGTTTCCCCTCTCCCCCTGACAGGATGGCACATGCACAAAAAAGAAAAATATTGATTTTGTCCATGTACTTTCTCCTTCCACACTGTGTCCTTCATGCTTCTGTAAAACATTGAAATGAGATGTAATGAGACTACTTCCAAAAGTTTGTGTTTTAGAATCTTCAGACATTTATGACAAAGATCATTTTCCACAGCTTAGACCGAGCTTACTTTAAGGTGATTTTGAAGTTGTTATAATATGTCTGTGTTAGTATCTTTCCCAGGAAATATGGCATCAGTTGACCTTTCATGGTAAAAAGCCAACGTCTTTATCTGTATCATTATTGTGACAAGAAGCTTCTACATAATTGAGGGATAAGACTTTCTTAGTTCATTCCAACTTTGTCCAAATGACCAAAACTTGCATTTGAATACTTTTTAATTTGCTCTCTTGATTCATTTGAATACTTTTTAATTTGCTCTCTTGATTGTGATTTTTAATAGTGTAAACTTTTTTTCTTGTGAAGGACTATCTAATTTTGGTTTTCTTTTTTGTATAATGATGCATAGAGAACTGGCACTGGAAGCAGTACACAAGTTAATTGGTTCTTCTAACAGTGGAAAAGATCCTACAACACCACTTGTTCCCCTAGATAGAAATGCCCAAAGGACTCGTCATAGGAAAACATGCTGATCATCTTGGATTATAGCGTGGGGGATAGACACATGGCATGGGAGAGTAGTGGCAGAATTAGAACTGGTATGTACTACAAGCTTTATGGAACTTCTGTTAATTCCTTTAAATGAAGAAAATACAAATCACAGTTATTAGTTGAAGTATCAGGTAATAACAAAAATTGACCATGCTAATTATGATGGAATAATATGTTTTCCTTGGTTCAATGATATCCTCTATCTGAACTGTCTCTGTAAAAAAAATGGCTTAGTTAATGGTCACAAGATTGTAGGAATCTGTTTGAAACTGGTCTAGATAAACTTTGAGACCCAATAATATCATTCAGTCCTTTCATTATAAATTGCAGCAAGGCTTAATTATTTCTGTTACTTGATTCTGATTGGTACCTTTAGACATATAACACAATGCTGATCAGGTATGTGATCTCTGGATATTAGTGAAGCATCCAGAAATTGGAATATGGAATTTTTTAAAGCAGTGTTAAGGCTAATAGGAAGCTCATATTTAGAAACTTTTACTGAATGCTTGCCATCATGACATTTGAAATCCTTTGTCTTGTCTCGTAGGCACAACCATCTTGGATGCCATTAAAGTAGCAGTAGGAGATGAAACACAAGTCATTTATGAGTGGTGTTCATCACCAGACACCATTTTACGTCAACATCTCCTTTTCCATTGGTGTTGTATGGCAAGCACCATGTCTGGAGACCATGGGTGACAACTCTGAAGTCATCATCCCCTTCAATGGCACCAGCATGATAGAACTTGGTCACTGACAGAGTTCCACATCAATGATTCTGTTATCTTGAAGGCTCCTAGTTCCTGAGAGCCATGAATGTTGGAGAAAGTGGAGAGTTTGGTTGATTCTTGGTTGACAGGGAGTGAGGTAAGGGGAGTAGTACATGTTACCTTTTGAGATTTATGAATTTTAGGGTCTTCTCCCCATCATGTGATTCAGCAGTGGATCAGATGCCTATGAATAATGGGGATCAGTCTAGTGGTTTTGGACTCAGAACCAAGTAGCAGTAAACATTGTCATTTGATTTCTAATGATAATTATTAGCTTCTTAGCTAATTTGACATGGAGGGAAAAAGGAGTAGAAAATAGAAAAGAAGAAAATTTTGGAGAAGGAAATTTATGAACATTTGTTGTCAATCTATTTGCAGCTGCTACCTCACATTACTTTATTTTAACCATAATCTATGTCCACAAGTGCCTCATGTAATCATGTTGTCTCAGACTGATAGTAAACTAGTAAAGGCAATTTAACATAGTGTCTTAGTTGACCAATGGTGTGCAGAGATACACTTCACAGTATGTATAAAATTTGGAAAACGTGACATTATCAGGAATCATTAGGCTCTCAAGATGGGAATAGACCATCTTCGTATTTTACATGTGATACAAATCAAGGGGTGGTAGGCATATAATCTACTGGAATTTTTGTGAAGCATGATCCCAGAAAACCAAGAAATATTAGTATATTAGACCATGGTTGGAATAAGAATGCCCAAATGATGAAGGCAAGATCATTTAGGATAAATTCAAAGTGGTGGTGCTTCTAAAGGAAATCAATTGTAACGGAACAGGTGATGTAAATAAGGGAGACCTAACTATATGGTCAGTTTATGTGCAACAAAGACCAATGATATCACTAGGAAGAAGTGGTTTAGTAGACGTTGAAGGTTTTGTAGATTGATGTAGTGGGGGAAGAAGATTCGAAAATACATCATTCTTTCTTGTAAATATATTATCTTGGAGGAGAATGGCATAACAAGATTATGTAACTAAGCGGCTTCAAAGAGAGATATTATGTACCTAAGCACTGTGTAAAGCTCAAAATGATGATGTGATGGTTGCGGACTTGGTGGTCTTATTTGGGTTCTGTGTATTGGATCTCTTTGGCGGGGCATGAAATGGAATGTACCCGCATTTCTACAGAGCAAAGGTCGTTGAGATGTCATTGTTTCTTGTCCTCTATTCAAGCTCAGTGTTCCTACTACATTACCTAAGCAGATATTTGAATCTTTACATTTTTGGCACGGTTAGACATCTCCTTACTTGATGCTTTGTTGTTGTACTCTCTCCTCCCATTGTGGTATATTTATACAGTTTTTCTAGCAGTCTATGTCTCTTCTTTTCACGTGTATGATTACTTAATTTGTCTGTCAAGTTGTGGTTATATACTAATAGATTGCATAAAGATTTAATGTGTCTTCCTCTTTCCGTGCAGTGCATTATACAAGAGCTCCATTGGAGGTTATGATCTCAGATCTTTTTGGGCCAAAGGTGAACTGCAGAGAAAGAAAAAAAAGACCTCAATCCACGTGAGCCACTCACTAAGCTTTCCCTTTTGATTATTTTGGTTTTGCTTCCGTACATGGTAGGCTTGGTTTATAAAATGCTAGTGCATGGGGTTATTGAAATAAATTTGAAGAATCAGAATATTGTCATAAATATATATACAGAGAGAGAGAGAGATGAGATCAATACGACCAAAAGTATAAAGTTGTGAGGCTATGTATGTGGTCTTAATCAATCCAAGGAGTTGATCGAAATTAGAATAAAGTGGCCAAAGTGCTTTCTTATGCAACTTGGAAAAGGCGGCTCCTTTCAAAAAGAAAGTTGGTAGTTTTGTCATTTACCTTAAAAAAAAAGTTGGTTGAAACGGTGGTATTGCTAGCTCATGTTGCCTTCATTCTTTTGCTCATTTGGTGGGGTCTAAATAATATATGCAAGTGCCATGAGTGGGCACTAGTACTACGCTATTCATGATAGTTGCAAGCAGAAGAGCAATACAAATCAAAACCAATAACAATTAACAAGAGAAGGAAAAAAAAAAGAAGCGAACAAAAGCAACCAACTACGCAATAAGCAATGTAATTTGTTCATTGCATTTGGCATTTGTGAAATTAAATATCCAATCAAGGGAAAGCTAGCTTGTGAAATATCTTTTTTAGTTGGGGCTATGATCATGATATTTGCAAATTTTCCTGGGTCCCCTGTCTGTACCTTGTTTCGTGCAGTCAGAGGATCGGCGATCACCATTTACTGGGAAAATCAGCTTGAAGAGGTGATTGAAATTCTTTGCTTCCGTTTGTATGCATTTGGCTGTGTTGAATTTCTGACCGCATCAATTCTGTACCCTATTTTAGTTTCCATGTTTCCTTTTTAAATTGCCTAGAAAACAAAAGCTACTGGTACTGACTGAAATTTTAAAGAGAGGTGGTATAGAGATGCGGGGGCAACACGTAATGCCACATGCACCTGCAACATAAGTTGCCACGTGTAATATTCTTATTCCTTAATCAAATTTGTCTAAAGGAAAAATGACAAGAGTAATTAAATTAATGGGTATGCAACATCCTAAACACCGATTAACCAAAACAGATCTAATTTACTTTTGGTGCATGGTGTTTTGCAGGGCAATAATAGCTAGTTTTGCCCCTATGGCTGCTGTTTTACAATTTCAGACTCCTATTTTCACCTTGAGGATGTGGTAAATTCAGATTATCCATCAGCGAGGGCACCCTCTTGGTTTCCATGTTTAAGTTGTCTATGTCAGCTTTATGCCCCACCATTTAAGAAGAGTTAGAGAGGCGCTCCACTCTTGGTTTGCCATAAGAAAGGAGTCAAAGAATTCATCCAAACACCCCTTTTCTTTTTTTTTTTTGGTACTTTGATTCAGTGATTCCCTGTTTAGATAAACCATATATAGTTTGCTTTTTTTCTCTCTAAAGGGGGTGGGGGTTTATCATTTTGACTCTTGTTCTCTCATTTGAGATTATGGTAATTCAATTCTTCACCTTAAAAAAAAAAAAAAACAAAAATCAAGCTAGCTGATTATTTAAAAATCTTGTTATAAGGGCTTTATGGTTGAAACTTACCATAAATGGAGATGGTGGCATTGACAAAAAAATAATAATAAATGGAGATGGTGGGGAACATATGAAGCTCTATTGGGCAGTCATCTAGGCTAGTAGACTACCACGTGGAAGATTCCTGAGTCAACTAGATATTATATTAGTATTCTACTACAAATTGTTAAAAACAAGCATTCACTGTAGTTAGACAAAAAAAAAGCATTCACCGTCCCAACATTTGTCTTGTCAGAACATGAAATTATTAGTTTGGTTGAATGCTTAATTAGGAAGGATATTTCTTTTTATGAAAAATAACTTGATGAAAACTCGAAGGATACATAATATATCCAACACAAAGAGAGAATCTTCAATCCTGCTCCAAGATAATTACCTTGATTAAAGAAAACGGTCCAAGACTTAATTCTACTTGGTGAACAGCAAAGCCATAATATGAGTTCAAGATCTGGAGATCACTAAGACAGTACGACCATTTTTTGTTTAGTTGGTTGATACCGTACCTTTGGGAATCACAAACCCATGATGATGCCTTCTGAGAGTAGTTATTAGTAAATGATTAACCTTGTCTAATTGTCTATAAGATGAAAAAAAAAGGACAGAGATTATCACCTGTTGGTTTATTTCATTAGAAAATTAGAAACTATACCTACTTAGGATGATCTTACTTTGTGAAGAAAAAGTAGCAAACAAGACAAGGAGATAGTGTTGAAGCATAAGAAGCTCAAGTTAGTGGAATGTATGACTCAGTCTCTATTAAGGTTTGGTGGGAAAACTCAGTCAGCTAGGCCATAATGCAAGTATAGATCTTCGAGTAATTGGCTCAAATGACCCCAATTAAAGTAAGCAATTGGATGCTAATACACAAATCAAAGTGAGTGCTGTGTGACTAGGCCAAATTGAACTGAACTTAAGTGACATGGGTCCTAACCAAATGCCCATAAAGTGCATAAAATAATTTCACATGTTCATGGTGAACCATCTATTTGCCCAAATGCAGAAACCGGGTCACAAACTAAACCTACCAACTACTTGCTACTGGTTTCATTTCTGTCTGCAAAAAATGTGCAAGCTTTGGATTCGGTCTCCAAAACTAAGTGTTTACAAAATGGATGTGAAAAGACCCACCGGTTTTGATTACAAAGGGAATAGAAAACAAGCAAGTAGTAATAGATTTCATAAAGGAACTATTTATCAAAAAAAAAAAAAAATAGATTTCATAAAGGAACGTAGACAAGTGGTACAAATATCTGCTAAGGATTGATGCTACTTTGGAATCAAATATATTAACAATGATATTTTTAGAACTAATAATATTAACAGCTCAACATAAGGCCATCGAATTTCTAGTCTGTCTACCTATCAACAACTCTAAATATATCTTCCCTGAAGCATCTGAAACCTTTACTAGGTAACCCTAAGAGGTTAATCTCAATGATTCCAGCATTTCGTTCTTCAGTGTAACTCAACTGCGTATTGGCTTGCTGCTGCAGATCTGCGTGTGTAAATCTTCTTGAGCAAACCATCCCACGAGGGACCGTATAACTGGATTAGTGGACGGTTGGTTATCTAATCAAATCTTCTGCTTGGAGGCCATTCCCTGAAATCTCATTCTTACAAAATAATCAGGCATGGTTGTAAATGCGTCACCATATTCTTATGCTTTCCTTCATGCACATGCTAGAATATCTGATCCAAGGAAGAAACCTCAGATTTTGCATTAAATATTTGATATAGAGGAACAAAAGCTTGAGAACCTTCCATTTCAGTTTTGAAGTTCAGAATTTGAAACTCTAAAAGAAAAATATATGATCTTATCTCTTAGAATTCCAATACCATGAACTACCTCAAAGTCTCCGTCAACATATTCACATAAACGCCATGACAAAGCATGGATAGAGAGAGCACCCTCAGCAAACAGAAAAGTTTAGGCAATTCAAACCATTAAGATGCCCATGCTATCCACGGTGGTCATGTAGTGATTATTGCATCTGAAATGCTATATGCTGAGGTCTGATTTGAGATCCACAAAAAGCTTCTTGTTGCTGATTTAATCCATGCATTTTTTGCCCATAAGAAGTTACCCCATAAGGAGGTGACACGAACATGTTACCATTTGTCTGATTGAAAAAAATGTCATGTCCTCCATGGTTAGGCTGGCTCCAATCAAACTGTACTTTGGGTTTTGGCTGCTGGGGAAGCACTGCAGAATGATCTGGTGAAGGAACTCTATTATTGTCTGGTGAAGGAGATCTAATGTCTGTGAGATTGACAGTAGTGATATCATGGATGCTGGATCTTCTCTTATCTTTCCCTCCCGAAAGTTGTTGCCTGATGAAGTATTTCTGAGCATGGCTAGCCACCTGTGTTGGTGTTCTAGTGACTACAAAATTCCGCGAGATATTTCTCCAGTCCCCCTTACCATACTTCTTAAGACCCAACAGAAACAACCTGTGGTTTATCATTCAAAACCCGTAAAACCAATGTCAGTGAAATGCAGAGGCTAGGAATCTGGAAAAAGATAGGACAACAACTTGAGGTAGACAACATAGAAATTTAACTTAAAGTACTAATATACAAGATTTCATGTTGCAGGTCAACAAGGGCAGATGCAAATGAGAACAGTAACAAGCTTAATGTTTGTCCAATTGTTCTATGTTGTAACCTCTGGGAAATAGAGAAGACACCACAGAAATTGATTTTTTTTATTAATTTGAACCTCACATAAGAATATAGGATAACAAATTCTAACTCTGGTTTATCAAAAAGCAAACTCACTTGACAATGTGAGGCTTAAAAATCATGCATGGAAGAACAAACTAGACACTGTGAAGAACTGGCTCAACTGGAGCACTAAATGGAATTCTAAGGCACACTTGATACTTCCCAAAGATAACTGTGAAACAGTAAAATCAAGGGAGATGAACTTACTTGTGCTCTTCTTCTGTCCAGGGGACCCCTTTCTTCCTTTCCTGATCAGATGGCCGACCTGAGGCACCTCCACCTCTCCTTCCACCGGAGACAAAGGATTGCTTCAACCCATCGAACCCACGATTGTTAACCCACTCTAGCGTGAAGGGGGAGGTACGATACCCAGGAATCGGAATTCTCCCTGCTTCTATATGGCCAACATCGGCTACCAATTCCTTGTACTGCTTCACCACGTCCTCCACAGTCTTGCCTGGAATCATCGACGCTACCTTATACCATCTATCAGGAGTGTCCTTATCAAACACCGCAAGAGCATTCTCGAACATTTTGTTCTCTTCATGGGTCCATCCAGAGCTCTTGCTCTCTTGAACAAACCAATTCGAGTTGGTAAAATGATAGTTTGCCGGAGAGAGAACCTCCATTCCAAATCTCATCATTTCGAATTACAGAGCAGAATTACAGGTCATACCAGTTTGATAAAAATGAAAAAAAAAAAAAAAATCTTACAATTCGCGGGCCACTCTCTCTCCCTTCTCCTCTTCCTCTCAAATATAGAAAAATCCCCGAGTTTGAGACGGTTTGAAGACGCGATTCTGAAGAATAGGTTCGGGATTTCAATTTCGATGGAACAGAAGAAATACCGAGCAAAGGACGGATAACCCAGAGAGGAAATGCAGAGGTGGAGGTTTCATGAAGAGAAAACAGGCGTTAAATCGATAAGCATTTGCAGGGAATCCGAATACCTTTTTATACAAGCATAACCCGAAGAATCTAGAAAAGACCCACTTTCTGAAATCCACGAGAAGCTCTCAAAGAAAATTATATTTGGAAAAGAAAAGGACAGATCTTGCTGGTCATACATAAACCCTAAGCTCACCTATCAGATCCGAAAGAGTCAAATAAAAGGAAAGATATTTTGAAAAGTGAATTACAGAGGCTCAAGAAAATTGAAGACAACAAACTTAAGACAGAGCTTTTTATACTTCTCTCGGCAACTCCAATATAATCCTCTCACCAAACCAAGAAAAAAAAGAAATACTACCGAAACAAGTCTAGATGTCAAGAGCGCAAGGCCAACCCAGAAAGCCGAATACGCATCAACCCAACTTGAGATAACTGTGAGAACTAAGAACAGAGAGGGAATCAGAAGAACCCAAACAGAAAAAGTGGGGGGGTCATCTCTTCCTTCCTTTCCCTTGAGTCTCGAGCAACCAAGGAATGAAGAAGAAGAAGAAGAAGAAGAAGAAAAGGAAACCAGCAATCAAGCAAGCATGAAGAATGAATATAAATTGGCCAGCTCCAGGTTCCAGCCTCCTCGTTGGAAGAGAAACCCAGACTAAGGAGATTACAGAGGAGAGAGGATTTTAGAGGGAGGGAGCCAAAAGTAGTTGGCACTGATTGGAGGCCATGGTGTTTATGGTAGTGCAACTGAAGAAAAAGTTCTCGGTCGTGTATTAAAATAAACGAGAAATGATCACGCGGGATCGATCACGCTGGATAAACCGTGTTAATCCCTAGCGTGTCAATCATTTCCGAGCATTTAAAAAATTTTCTAAGTTTTTAAACCTTTATACCAATCACTGATAACCACGTCAAGGCTCTCACCGCTCATCCAGCGTGACCGCTCTCCTGTTTCAAAATTGGTTAAATATTTTTTTTGGGAAACGTTTTATTATTGTATGGTTTTGAGTGACGAGATTCTTTAAAAGAAATGGGATTTATTTAAACCTCCCATCATTATCCGACAATTACTAAAACTTCCCTCATTTTTTTAATATTTAATTATATTTATTTACAAAAAGTCTAAAACATCTCCTCTTAGTTTTGATGTCGACTTTACTAATACCTCCCTTTATTAATGTTATTTTTGATGAAGCATTTGACTTGCAAAATGTTTAAAAATTAAAATCACCTTTCACTCAAACGATATAGCCATAAAGACCGAAATACCCTCACTTGTTTTGTAAACTTATTTGTTTTCCAACTACTCCTACCTATAACAAGAATTTTAGTAGGTGTGCAAGTCGGAAGGTTAGTCATCAGGTTGTGGTCAACCTTTACCCAAACCGGGCTGTGGAACCCCCAGCCCTGAGCACGAGTCCTAGAGGGCTAGAGGTGTAAAGTGTCCCGTGGGCGGCTCGCACAAATTGCGGGTAGTGTCATGCTGGTCCGCGGGTTGTGCCAAAATTTTGGGGTCAGTCTAGGCTTGTGCGGGCTCATGCCGAACCTTGGGCTAGATCGGACCGTGTATCGAGTCAAAGCTATTTATTTAAAAAAATTTAAAATTTTAATTTTATATAAATTTTGTGTATATAATTACTTATATACAATAATTAAATAAAAGAGTATAATAAAATTTAAAAAATTATTTATTTTATTAATATATTATATATTATATACTATATACTATATATTATTATATAATTATAATTTATACAATATTATATAAATATATATATAATATGTATAATATATATATATATATAGGTCGTGTCGGGCTGTGGGCGACACGGCCAGATTTACACATGTAAGCATGACCCAACCCCTTGGGTTGGATACTTGGGTTTGAGTGGGCCTGACTTTCTCTATTCTTTCGTCTAATGTTCTTATTTTTTGAATTTAAGGGTTGAAATCAATTTAATTTTAACTTTATTAAATGTGTAGGACATATTTATCATGTTCTTGAAAACATTGGCTTTTAAATTTAAAATGATGGATATATAATATATGTATACATAAATACATATGTTATATATATATATTAACTATCTATACAAATAAATGTTTATATAGTATTTATAAATATAAATATGAAGTTAAGTCAGATTGGCCAAGACCTCAACCCTAACTCAACTAGGCACTAATTGCAGCCCTAATTTATGTTTAGAGAGTGTCAGCTCAGCCAAGCTCTCATCTTGCAATCAAGCTTTTGAGCTTTGTTTAGAAGATGACTTGAGATTGTAGAATTTATGTGATTTCTCTAACATTGTTGAGATAGAGAATCAGCATGCCTTTTATTTCTGTATTATGGACTTAGAATCTTCTTCTTTTGTGAATAAATTAAACATGTCAAGAATTTCATTAAAAAACAAAGATGGAAAGAAAGGAGGTGACAAAATTACAATAGTAACATGGAAAGAATTTCATTTAAAAATGACCACTTTTAACTGACGAGGGGCCATTTATAGCTGCATTTCTAATCATTCTCCTACAGAAAGAAAAAAAAAAAAACACTAAAATAATGTAATGTTAATTAGGCTGCATTTGGCATTCCTTATTTTAAGGACTTATCTCCTTTATACAGTTAAAAACTCAGTGTTCATAGGGGCATTTCAACTGCAAAAAGGAGATAAGTCCAATAAGGACCAAATGCAGCCTTACTAGTGGAAGTTTTACCTATCAAAAAAATTACTAATGGAGGCTTTAGTAAACATTCAAAAAGGGAAAAGTTTTATTAATTGCCAAAAGTTCAAGCCTTTAAAGAAAGTTCAAAATTTGCGAAAAAAAAAAGGAATGTTAGTGTTAACCTGTTGTGCATTTATGAGATTGTTTCCCATTGATATAGGTTCTTGCATGGACAATGAAATGAAAGGAAAGAAAGTTGGAGGAACTTACTTTTTAAGATTTATCTCCTTTTTTATGTCAAAAGCAAAAGTTCAAACCGTTGGAAAAGGTTGCCAAAGTTCATATAAAAAGAAACACTTTTACTTTTAATGAAGCAAAAAGGAAAATACTTCTAACAGAGACACTTGTTTCATTTGCCTGTTATCACTAATTTCAAAGTCTTAAAAGATGCAATTTTATGCTATTTTTTCTATTGTGTTATAACGGCAAATGACAAAGGCACAACTACTTATCCAAACAGGTCTTAGATGGTGTGAAGGAACATTATAGGGCTAGTATAACTTGTCATATACTGCAATTGCACTCAAGGTTCAAAATTTTGTAATGTATCAGTTTTTCAACCCACTAAAACACTATTTTTGTGGTAATATATTTATTTATAAATATAAAAAGCTAAAAAAATAAAAAATAAAAAGAGTATTATATATTAGAAACTAAGGAAAATACCGATACTTTGAACTATGAATGGACCTATTACTGGATGGGTCCCACCGAAGAGATTATAGGATAATTTTGAATATGTAACTGCTTTATGTTATTTATATTGGTAGGATAAAAAGAACAACTTCTACAACCAGGTATTATATATATATATATATAAGATTGTGGACGAATAGTGCAGGCCACTTGAGAAGGACAAAGCAAAAGGGTAGCAATTACATCAAGCTCCAAGACATCCGATATTTAACCCTAATGATTCCACATCTTTCCTCTCTATTGATGTGTATCCTTGCATTATTTATTCAATAGTACAAATGCAAGGTTTTGTTAGGATTTGATGTTTGGTTGGGTGGCTTTGCGTGCAGTTATCTAAAAGGTTCTACACTACTTTCTATTATTCTATTTTTAGAAAGTTTTTATCATCCATTTCAGCAGAGGCTTGGAAAAATTTATGCTGCCGGAAAGACATGATGATATTAGAAGGGCTTTGACCAATTAAAACCCCCCGATTGGATATCTCTTTTATAATATCAGTTGATTGGTTAAGAGTCTTTCTACTATTATCATGTGTTTCTGGTATCATATCCCACAAAATAGGAGTCATTACTTGATGCAATAGTAAAATATTAGGCTAATAAAACATGAGTGAGAATGCAAGCTCAAGTCTGAGATAGTTCGGTCTGTATCAGATCCAACCCTCCCAAGACCAATCTTGTCCTTTAATATTAGCCAGGACCAATTCAGATTTTTTGGCACAGATTGATGGGGTTGGGAGTGGAATCCACCCACAGAGTCAGCACAATTAATATTAAAATGTATGATTATATAACATTTTTAATTCATTTTATATTAGATTTTAACACTCTCATAACCACAAACTATGAATCCAAACATAAACCTAATATCTACAAATACCCAAACAAAAGTAGACAACCATTGGAGTCACTATCATAGATATTGCTTTTTTAAAAGTATACACATAATTCTTTCTTAAAGTAAATAATGATGTATCTAAATTCTGATATTAGTGTAGGTGAAAAAAAACATATAGAATCAAATCAGTACCTACATTGGAGGAGGGGACGCAGATCTAACCACAAACAAGACATGTAAGATGTGCTGCGAAACCCAATCAGAAATAAGGTCATTAGTTGGTGATACATCTGCCAAAATTATAAATTACCAACGTGTTTACTTCTGATTGGGTTTCACCGCCCATCATGTTGCACATATTGTTTGTAGAAGATCCAAAATTGTAGTGGAGGGCTTTCTTGTGACTGCCTTCTGGCTTTCCTGAATGCAGGGAAAGCTAATTTTCTGATGTTAGTGGTACTTATATATCCAAAATGTTGAGTGGATTCTGGGCTAAGCAGCTGCTCAATTAAAAGCCATCCAAATAGGTCCTTATAGGGTTTTTTCTCACTATAAAAGGATGCTAAAACAATGTATATGGGCCTGAAAATCCCCAGGATCTGCCTTTGGCTTTCACTTCCAGTCCAAGTATAACAGAATTAGATGACATTAGCTTTCATCATAAAATAAATAAATAAATATAGCTCAAACATTTCAACATGAAAAAAATCTTCACCCATAGTACCCTCAACTTTGTGGGTAGTATCAAGTTAGTATCCAAACTTTTAAATGTGTCACTACAGTATCTAAATTTTCAAAAAGTGTTAAGTTAGTCCCTGCCATTAATCGATCATCAATTATTTGTTGAAAATGTCAAAATTATCCTTCAAAATAAAACATTGTTTGTTATCTTCTACCTTGAAATTGGACTTCCTCAGTTGGATTGCTTGTCAATCTCAACTTCCTCAGTTCTCTCTTGTTCAAGAACAACACGGAATGGATAAGGATCAATGAAATGGACCAAATGGTGGTTCATGTCTGAACTCTCAAAAGAAGACAACTGCATTCAATTCAATTCATTATTATAAAAAGAGCAATTTAAAATACGGAAGCCAGTAGGTGAAGGGATAGTTTTGACATTTTCAACAGATAATTGACGATCGATTAACAGTAGGGACCAACTTGAGACTTTTTGAAAGTTTAATTACTGTAGTGACACGTTTAAAAATTCGGATACTAACTTGACACTATCCCCAAAGTTCAGGGTGGTAAATACTAAAGTGGAATTTTTGACTTTATCTTAAAAAAATGTAGCACTAATAGCTTCTTCTTCTTCTTCTTCTTCTCTCCTGTGTACATATTTTTGTTTGCACCTTCTTATTCTTTGATGTATCGTTCCCACCACTTTGTTGTTGTGTTAGTGTATCTTCAACTTCATAACCCCTCAACAGCCCCCTCCCAATAAAAAACAAAGGGAGCCCATTCTTATATTGAAACAATTAATTGGTGGGTAG